ATTTGAACTGAAACTGAACGACTGGTGGATGACAAGCGAATATTAACTTAATGTGTTCAAACTAGAGTAAAGCAGGCGCAACAATTTCCAAGATATATTTGTTTTTGAAGGTTCGCTCTTTTCGTTTTTGTTTTTATTGTTTTGTTTTGTTTTTTGTTTTGTTTTGTTTTGTTTTTTGTTTTGTTTTGTTTTTTATTTTATTTTATTTTTTGTAGGTTTTTAGATTTTTTTTCTTTTCTTTATATCTCTCTTCTTTTCTCTCCTAATCCCTTCAGTACTTCCTTTTTTACCTCTTCTCTTCTTTTCTCTTTCGTCTCGTCTCATCTTTTCTTTTCTCTCCCTTCTCTTTCATTCACTTTTTTTTATTTAAAATAGCAACACAAAGAACGTTCTATACGAGGCCATAACTAGATGGGCGACAAACATCGTGTCAAAATTAAGTCAGTTATTCCTCACACTCCGAAGAAAAATTATGGAAATAATTCAAGGATTCATTTATTTATACGATATTTCGTTCTAAATCCTCGAGTATTATTCACCACAGAATCCTGGTGCCAAGAAACTTAGTCTTTTTAATTCTCCCTCAGTTAAGAAGATTTCTTTTTCATCCTAATGATATTTTATCTATGAGACGCGAATTATAAAACCGAAAAAGGTTGGATTAAATGGGAAACACGACGCTAGTCTAATCGAATTAAATAAAATGACGCTTGACTACAGCAAGAAAATTTAACCGTGGTTCAATATACTCAGGCAAAAATGCAAACAAAAGTCTGATAATAACCCTAGATTTTCATTATATCAAGTAACATTTAAAAGTTCATTGAAATATAGCGGCTTAGGATGAGCGGAACCTCCTTTTGCACTTACTGACATGCTCGCAGCATTCAAATGGCTTTTCAATATTTATCCAAAGGTCATATCCAAACACTGTATAGGTATAGCTAAGGCGTGTGGTAGCACTAAAATGATTTTCTAATATTTGGTGTTCAATTTTGGCCAAACACCACATGCTGTGTATCAATGAAATAGATAGGCACTGAAATGGCTTCCTATAATTATCAAGGGTCTCAGTCAATCACTGCCGTACAAGTATAGCTAAGGTGTGTCGTAACTCTGAAATGACACGACATGACGTGTACCAATGAAGTAGATAATTGCCGTAACACTGAAACTACTTCTTAATATATGACATTTGTCTTAGCCAATCACTGTACAGTTGTAATTTCACACACCTCTTGACGTGACCAATGACGTAGTTAGAAATGCCCGATAACACTGAAATGGCTTTGGTCAGTTGTCTCATTTCATAGTCTTGATTACTCGCGAAAAAGGAATGGCAGTGAAGCGGCTTTTCATTTACCACTTTTCGTCCAATCACTGCTCTACCACTACCTTAATTTTCAATGCGCATGTCTACGAAATTCCGCTGGCTTCCTGTAGGCTCAACCTTTTCTCACGAATGTTTTCAAGATATTTCAGCATTACATATAATGATTATTTTCGCTTTCGTTCACGTAATGAATATATAGGTCTCGCAAGTTTAAAATAATCTATAGAAATCTGCAAGATTCTATTTTCTTTATAGTACCAAATAAATTACAACTCGCAAGCATTTTTCGCCAATATTTTTCTTAGTGCGAACAAGATTGAACGTCCTACCAAAATGTCAGTGAAAAGAACCCTATGACAAAAGCAAAACAGAAACAAAAAAATTGTTTTTTAATGAACTTAATGCGGTGCTGTTTCTTGAGGCGACGGATTTCCGTTTTTTCGTAATCTTCTGGCGGTAACAAGATAACTAGGGTTTTTGTTCAACATTGTTTTAAGCGATAGCACCATTTAATAATCTAATCATCTTTCAAAGTCGGGTCTCCTCTTCTAGACTGTTGCCAATCTGTAAAATCACTTTTCTCTAATCAATCTTGTGTGTTCGGACCACCGAAGTATCTTAACCTGTAGTTATCGACCGTCCAAATTTTGCATCAACGTATTTCAACCTGCATATGTCGACCGTTGATGTCTTTGGGATTAATTAAGTATATCAACCTGTAATGATTGACCGTCCAAATTTTACAACAAAGAATTACAACCTGCATATACCGATCGCTGATGTCTCCGGACAAATAGAGTTTTTTGTTTTTCAACCTGTAATTATCGACCGACCAAATTTAACATCAAAGTATTCCAACCTGCATGAATATTTCAACCTGTCCGACTGTCCGAATCTGATATGTCCGGACAACACAGTATCTCAGCGTGCATTTATCAAATATCTGGTTTAGTCCAAGACTGCAAGCGATCCTAATGATACACTTGTCAAGTTTTCAAGTCTCAAAAATGCTAAACCTGTTTCCAATAACCTTGATAATGGAGTCAAGATGAATCCGAAACGTCGGATTTTAGCGTTAATTTCCATTATGAGTACATTTTCAAAATCTGTCTTACTCATAGAATTTAGTCGTTTTATATTTTCTATTTTTTTGAATTTTATTTAGAAGCTTCCTCACCTTAATGATTTTCAAGAAGGTCCTATAATTAAACTGTTCACTATTCCAGCCTTTCTTCAGCTGTATAACATGTTTAAGTTCAAAGAGCATTAAACATTATATTGAATTTATTGAACTTTTTGGACTCCGGGACAGTCAAGTAGACAGATCTCTGATAAAATACTCGTGTAACAGTCTAGACAAGAACATTTGTTTCCTATTTTTCATCAAAAGAATGACTATAAGTCCTTGTCGTGCTTCAGTTTGCCCAGATAAACAAAGTAATTTGTGGTCTGGCTTTTGTGGCAGCAACATGTTCCTACCGAAGCGACCAGAATGAGCATGCTTTACCACAGGAAGCCCAAACGAGGTATAAGTCCTGGTGGTGCTTTATGCAAGGGGCATTAGTCCAGACTACCAAAGTGAATTTTGATCTACAGCTGCGGTGGCATTACCACCAAAGTAGTTTTGATATCAAAGAATAGATGTTTTTTGATGTTTCTGTGGTTCAAATCAGTGCTTAAAAACGGGTGACTAAAATCGCGGACTCACTATCTGCTTCCAATCTCAAAATCAGCTCAGTACAAAAGTGCAAAGCTTATAAAGGAAACACAGAATAAATAATCCCAGTATCAACAATCATCGAAACACGTACTCGCAGGATTATCCTCACGTGACACCACTATGTAGCTTTGTTAATACGTCGATGACGTAATCTGGCAAAAGTTAGCGTCAGTAATGGATTATAGCGGTGTTATGCAATTCACCTTTTCGGCGCTAGCCGTCACGGGGTATAAATTGTTTTAGATTGTGTTACGGTCAACAAAAAGTTCGTACATTGTTCTCGAATTTCCGTACAAATGTGCTGACTCTAAATGAACTATTACTTGGTTAATGTTTAGTTAGTTCTCTAAATACAAGTGAATGATCATTTTTCTAGCTCGATTGAAGCTTTTCTTACTGCTGTTAAGATAGCTAACTAAAGAAATCTATCTAAATTTTCTCTTTAAAATCAATGAATTTGTATGGGAATCGGCCGAGAACGACGTCCGAACTTTTTAGTGACCGTAACACAATCCAAGTTAGCGCCGAAAAGATGAATTGCATTTACAACTTTCGACATTTTGCATCTCTTGGTGATTATTATGCAATATCGTTGTCTAGCTAAAACAGAGATTAACAGTACGACAAATATTTATAATTATACACTGATTTTATATATTCTTTCTATATCGAGTGAGTGTGTATTAGGTAACATGTGACTTTGCTAGTTATGTAATTGTCTTCTTCGGTAGTCAGCGTTCATCACTAACTGTATATCTTTTTAAGCAATGCCTATATCGGACACGGAATATAGAAGATTGTAGCCTCCTTCTTTGCTCTTTTCACTCTCTTTTCCTATATTGGGCTTCCTGTTTTAGCTGAGAGCTGACCGAACGGGACGAAAACCATTGCGATTAGCCTGCAGAGGAGGCTATGAAAATTGCTCGAAGTGAAGTCAGAACATGATAGTAACATAGTACCTAAATGACCCTTCTGCAAAATCTTTCAAGACATCGATATAARATGATCCAAAAAATCACTCAAAGCTCAACTAGGCCACAAACTACACGCAGATTACTTAACAGATTATGTTTCTGGATGCCAAGTCTTTTATGAATTTTACACGATGAAATATCGCTAGGAAATTATCAGTGTTGATAGCATTGATGCAGGCTACGGCGATGTTGACGACGATAACCTGCGCGGCATAGAAAATTTAGCTCGATAAGTTACTTTAGTATGTGCCGACGAAGCACGAAAAACCTTATAAAAAAGTAATATATCATGTTGCCCTTTTAAGAAAATCTACTCAGACGGATTGGTATGAATAGTTTAGTAAAAGGTTGTAATGGGAAATGCAATTACTGATGCCACGATTATCTTTTAATCCGGGAAAAAATCCTAAAATGAGTCAGTTCTATGGTTATTTGAAAGTCAAGGCAGACTTGACTAAAAAAATAGTGTTTTTAAAATAATATCTATATAGATCATAATGTTTCACCAAACACCAAATGTTTAGCAAAAACTAGTCGATATGATTGAATAGAGTACAAACACTAATAGTGTGCAACACTTTGCACTRTTTAGTTGTATTYATGTTACACAYTTATAGTGTTTGTACTCTWAKAATTTCTAATAATAASATATTGTATACATAGATGGTGACAACTCGCCGCTTGTCTGTCTGTCGAGTATTGTACATTTTGAACGAGGCCTATTTTGGAACTTGCCTGCTGTGAGTTAATCGTGGCTTATAAATTACGTGCCTGATGTGGTGCTTGCTCGTGAAAGCCACCAGCGCTTTCATAACACTTTCGTAACAAAACAATATGAGAAAAAAGGCTGCCAAGCTCTCCCTTGGCAAAACGCACACATACAGAGAAAGCTTCGTCACATGATTTAGGATTTTGAAAGCAAAACATTGTTATAATAACAACATATGGATTTARTACATTCCTAACTGCTTACCAGATTTCCCGACGGCTGGTTCTCCAAACACAACAATCTTTAGCTCAGATACCTCTTTAGGATCCTTCATTATTCTAGAAAGATAAATCCAATGCCCACCAAGGGACCAAGCCACAGCAAACAACAGAAAAAATCGATGAAATGAGCAGAGCTGATACGGGTTGGTACAAGTTATGTTTGGACCAGCRAGCAGTCTCCTAAGTATCGTTCGTAACTTCCTGAGATGTTGCCATCAAATGATACTCTTTCGTTACAATCTTGGCTAAAGAAGCACGAAATCTTAGAATTCTGCGAAGAGTTTGACCTCTGCTTGCAATCCTGCCAAAAGAGAAACTCCTTCTTTACTCGATATGCTTGATATTTGAASGTCGACGTTGACGCACAGATATATTCCACCACTCTTTCCGGGGCAGCTTTTTACATCTAATCTACTTCTTCTCTCTCTTGAAACCGCTTCACGAGTGCTAAGAAAATTTTCTTCGTGTTCAATGCGTTTGGTCTCTTGGTAATAAGGAAATCGCACCTTTAACTGCTCGGAGGTAAAAGTTACCAAACAGGAACCCAGTCGCTGAAGAGGCACACTCTACTCCCGGTTCTCAAGAACAATAACAAGCGACATACGAAATGACAGCAGATACTCTAGAAAGTAAGGTAGAACGGATTGGATTTCAATGTGTTCTTAGGATGAGGTCAAAGGYTGGATATAGACATCGCCTTGTTTGATTAATCTCGTGACTTTTTCGACGTATGGGCTACAAATGGGCGTCGTATTGTTTTGAGTCTTTCCGCRTGGGAGCCACTTATTGGCAAATATAATGCYCTGRGTCCGGTTGTAMGAAGGGTGGATAGCGCTATCCGACCGATAAATCTTATCCAGTGGATAAATTTATTGAATAACAGCATTGATTTATCCACTGGATAAGGATTTATCCATCGGATAGYGCTATTYACCCTTCGTACAACCGTGCCCAGGGAAACAAAATCTTGGTATCGCCAGAGCTGTTCTGGCTTGGAATTGAAGAGTGTCCTTTTTCACTCAACTTAAACGGAGGTTTCCTACTTTTGCTGAATTTCGGTAGGAAATAATTGATTGGAGAAATGTAATTGATAGAAAAATTAATTCTTGTCAATGAAGAGATAAAATATTTGAAATTGAGGAATTAAATTGAGTAAGTGAGGAAACTGAAAAAAAAGCCAAAATATCAAGTCAATTTTCTCATATAAAAAATTGTTTTCCAAATTGATATATAAGCTTATGTATAATACATTGTCTCTYCTATACCTCATAGGTTTTTTCTTATTCTTTTTTTGCCCATAGTTTTACTAGAGCCGGAATGATCATTCAAAAAACATTGACGATCCTAATCGTTTATAGTAATACTATGATTTTGGATCACATTACCATCAATAAGTGGGCGAAAGCAATAAGGAATCAATAACCTGATTTTGCGCGCCAAAACTTACAGGTTAATCTGCCTGGGTCAGTCAGTACGTGAGAGCATCAGTTATACTGGAAGAGAATAGTTTTCTGTGTGCCCGGATGGTGGGCATCAAATAAATTAACCGTCTGAAGGATACTCAAGATTTCAAGAGAGTCGTTTCCATTGATATTTGTTACTTTACTGGACTCCGACTTGGCTGTAATGTCTCAGTGACGAAAAAAAACAACAACAACTGAACAACATCTTTGCGCCATGCAAGGCTAGGGAAGATGTGAGCACTGGTCAAATTGTGTACTGAGCATCAATAGATCGTTTTCTCAAGGTTGCGTGCGCATCCATATTTWAAAAACTTGAYGGGCCACGATACCAGAACAGGAGCTTTATAATGAGAATTATCAAAGATTTCTATGAATTKTTTTTKTTGATAAGARCAAAATTGATTAWTCTCCTCTTTAAATATAAAACTGKCTTCTCAATTTTRCTGAATTGGCGTTTTTCAGTTTTGTGGCMCKTCAAATTGGATGCGCACGCAACCTTGAGAAAATAGTCTATTGGATTTCCTCATTCATACCCAAAGTCGCTGGATTTGAAATTCAAATACTTCGGAAAGCGTGTTGTTTTCCGAACAGTTAGCCGCAAGGAGAGAATCACATTCTTTTAAATTTTTTAATATCCTTGATACCCAAAGTCCTCAATTAAAAATTCAGACACGTACATAATAAAATCTGAGAACATTATAYCAAACCGCGTCAGTCCGATTGTGGCTTGAGAAGATGAAGAAACCGTTTAGAGCCYGAGTCAACAACGTCAACTAAAGAGGAAGTCCATGAAGTAATAGGAAAAGAATTGAAACTGTTGGTAGTGTSAAAATGCTGTTAGGACTAAAACTTATACATGATGCATGACCAGTGTATTCATAGAATCCGTGTAATTCTAAGCAGCTAAAGTGGAATTGAATTGACGGTTTTCACAGCCGCCATGTTGGATGAATCAGTAACAAAAGATTCGTCATTAGTCTTTTGTTATATCATCATCCAACATGGCCGCCGTGTCTTTTTTGTYATTTCATTCTCTTGGRAATGATTGAAACCAGCAATACTAGAAATTATGACAAAATATAGAAGGAAATTGTTCAGTGATGCATGATAAAATGAATGAAATGCTAAAAATATTGATGAGATGGAAGCTATTGACCGGCAGCATCGATAACAACCGCACACAACCACCAACTGGAGTGTAACCGGGCATGATTTTGAGTCTGCCTTCTTATTCATCAGTTTTCTATTTTTCGAAGTCACATTTTCCAGTGATGGGTGTCCAGGATCGAGTGGCTTGTAGTCTCATTGAACCCTATATCAACTTCCTCTTTGCTGATGAAAGTCAGGGCATGGCTAACTCACAGATCAAACCCTGAAACAACCACTGGGCTGATGAAAGTCAGGGCATGGCTAAATCACAGGTCAAACCTGAAACAACCACTGGGCTGATCAAGTTAGGGCATGGCTAACTCACTGATCGAATCACGAAACAACTTCTGGGCTGACCTAAGTCAGGACACGACTAACTCGTAGATCGAATAGGAATTTCATGTGAACTGGAAACAAGTAATTAAAAGTCTTCAGCGAAGATTCGGCTACAAACTAGTCATGACTTCAGCGAAAATAAAACTGCGTTAACGGTTAACGAGGTCATAATTATTTCTATGGAGAGCGAGGCCTCCTATGCAGAGAAACAAGGCAATACCCACCCTGACCCCCCTAGAGTCCCAGTGTAATAAAAAGGAAGTACTGGAAATGATAGTCGTAAGCAGAAGCAGAACATTACCAGCCCTAAAATAGAAGCAGAACTTTTATACTGAGACAGCAGAAGTTTCTACCGGATGATCTAATGAAGATCATCCAATGAGCGGAAATRGAATTGCTACTGAAATCGATAGCTAGGCTGACCAAGGCGATCGCCAACAGACATGGATAAGGACATCCGACGTCTGAATCGACGCACAGAGTTACTGACCCCGCACATGTAAATTTACTGTTTACTGAGACCTTTGTGCAAAAAAATCAACTAAGACGCCTAATAAATTATTCAGCAAATCGCTATTATTTACCACTCCATGAACAAAAAAGGGATTTACTTACAAAAATATACAGTCAGTGTCATTAACGTTGTCCACCGAAAAAAGACATTTACATATTTATACATTTACACATTTAGACATTTAGACTAAAGTGAGCCTAAGCTTTAAATGTAAAATCCAACTCGTGAATCGAAAATCCAGAATGCCCCGACCATTTAGTAAGGATTTAAGATGGACAATTGTACTTCAGCGTTTGTTTTATGAACGTTCGAGGAGACACGTGTTATTCTTTTAGTTTAAATGTGTAAATGTCTAAATGTGTAAATGTCTAAATGTCTTTTTTCGGTGGACAACGTTAATGACATTAACTGTAACTATAAATTAAGACTAAGGTATTTAACTTGTCAGAATAGCCAGGAGGAGCAAATCTAAGGCTTGAAACATGGTGTAAATCAACGAAAAAACCTGTACAGTACATTTGATTTACATTTAATTTGCGAGAATGACTCCTTCTCGTAATTCAAGTATTTACGTATTCCTGGAACCTCCCTTTCTTGGTTTTTGGCTTCCGTCAATAAGAAAATAAGCAACTCAGTACTGAGCTGGAAGCAGGCACAAGACAACGTACCGCGTCTGGATCTCGGGAGTCCAGGAATCAGCGGCTAGATTGGTTTACCTGGAACTGGTTTATGATGAAGAGTAATGCACATTCGTGCGGTAGCCTGGATAAGCTATGACTCAATATCTGCCGACTTCCGACGCTATTTCATTGATCTCAAATTCTGTACAAGGTCGACTGAAATGATTTGTAGTACGACAAACAACGATGTAAAAATAGAAGTGTTGCTATGGTAACCTCAGCCTGTGTGCCCGGTCWTGTTCCCAAGCCTCTTGATGTCTTTTAAGACAGCGTAGGAATAGGACTGTTGGATTATTTCCACAAAGTAGATATCATAACACACAATGTGTATGAACTTGTGGTACGGAGGAACAGCGTCGCAACGTGAACGAATGCGTCGTGCCCAACTTTCAGTCCGATCGGACGCGAACAGGAGAAACTTTGCGCGCCAATGTGGTTGGCCCAATTGAGCCATTTCATTTTGGTACCGAAGCCATGACTTTTCTTTGACCTTTTTGTTAAGTAAACGCCTTCTCATCATCAAATTTGGAAATAAAATAATTTGAATAAAAACTGACAAATTTGTGTTTGTCACGCAGTGAAATCGAGTGTGTACTCT